AGCTGCAACTATGTGCGTGTGATGCTAGCTAGCTGCAACTATGTGCGTGTCAGATGTAACTGAAACATCAGATCTTATTTAATAAAACACATGAAGAGTAATTCATATTTAGACAATGTCAATGTTAAGATTAAAAGTAATTCCATCTTTAAATGTTTGTGTCTGTAAAAGTCACCGAGGACAAATTCAGTGAGCATAAATATTTATTTCAAATGAACTAGTTTGAACTGAGCTCCAGAATTTAACAGAACTCATCGAGTAGAAAAGCGTGGTCTTCTCTGATTGGCTGTGCTGCAGCTTCCCAGCCTCTGGTGTCTCATGGGAGTTGTAGTCCTCTGCGCTGCTGCAGCAGCTGCTTCTCACTCACTGACCAGCTGCAGAACTACAGACTGGAGGGGCGGGGCCAGGGGCTGGTTGTGACATGTGAGTGGGCGGGTCTGCGGTGAGGAGTTGACTGACAGCCCAGGCTGATCAGGACACAGACTCCAGGTTCTCACCTGTGGCTCTCACCTGTGGTTCTCTCCTCTGGCTCTCACCTGTGGTTCTCACCTGTGGTTCTCACCTGTGGTTCTCACCTGTGGTTCTCTCCTGTGGTTCTCCTGAACCAGTGGAAACAGCAGCAACATGCTAAGAGCCGTTTGGCTCCTCCTGACCTGCCTGGTGCTCGGTGGACTGCTGCGCTCTGAGGTCAGCTGTTTGGGTTATTGTGTCATGCTGACACGTTCCAGGTGTTTGTGAGCAGCTGGACTCAGTGACTCACTGCAGCAGCAGGAAAATAAGAATTATAGCTTCTGAATGTAGATCTTACTGCTCATCATAGAGTCCACAGCTGACTCCATATGTTTGGTCTGATACATCTGAAACAGCTGTTTTATTAGTATTAAGGCCACATTGAGTTGTTATTAATGTTCATCTATTTGTTGGGCAGATCCAGAGCTTGAACCAATTTTTATTATTGCAAATAATGAGAACAACAGAGACATCGACAGAGTGAACTTCACCTTCATTCACTTTTATTCAGTCGTTTACGAATCTGTGTTTTAAAATGTCGTCTTTCAAAGTATAAATCAAGGATGTTGTTTTAAATAACAGAATAACATTGTGTTTTAAATTAGCACATTTCTTTATTTTGATTTTTTATGAACTTCATGAGAAGTGTGAGAAGATAAAGAATCAGTTTGTTCTGTGGATTAAAAACCACAGTGTGTGTTCAGAGCAGACCTGCTGACCTCAGCCAGGTAAATCAGGTGTTTACTGTGGATCAAGACAACAGGTGATGGTTGTTCACCTGCTGGTGGTGTTAGCGTCTCCCTCTGTTTACACAATCATTGATCTCCTCAGACTTTACGTTCAGCATTTTGCTTTGGTCGGGTGGAGGTGTGGTCTGGATCACCTGTGTGGGTTTAGGTTACAGGTGGATGAATAATGTATGGGAGTGGTCTGTTTACTCACCCCCTGAAGGTGGAGCGTCAGTCGACTTCCACACAAATGTTTTTACCCCCTTCTAGACGAGCGTTTTATCTCCAGGCTGCTTCACACCAACTCACCTGAAAACACAGGTCAGATGACCATTCACGTACACTGGTCATGTGATGTAAACAGGAAGTAGATGGTCTCCTCTGCAGTTGGTTGCTTAGTAACAGGAACTCCTCTGAAGGAGGAGCAGTGATGGTGAATGGAGCAGGGATTTCTTTTCTCTGAGCGACGACGAGGTGGAGCTGTTACTGACAGGAAGTGTTAGCGACGCTTTGTGTTCACTGCTGGTAGTCGAGTCATGTGACAAGAACCAATCAGAAGAGAACGTCTGCGTCATCTCTCACAAAATTCTCAGTTTCTGTTCATCCAGAATAAAACACAACCCCCTACTATGTCCGCTGGTTGTTGTTGAAGCTTTTTCATGTTAAAATCTTCTTCTCTCTGCTCCGCCTCCAGCTCACAGGCGATCTGGACGACTGCTTCTGTGACGTCGAAAGCATCGACGTCTTCAACAACTTCAAGATTTACCCTCGAATCAAGAAGCTGACAGAGCGAGACTACTTCAGATACTACAGGGTAAGAGCTGTGCTCATAGGACACCCTGACTCACTGTAACATCTCACAGTATATATATATATACTTATATATATATATATATATATATATATATATATATATATACTTTATATCATTTAATGTCTGAAAACTCATTTTTTACTTCAATATAAAAGATTTTTGCTGCACTCACACCTTCACACCCTCTGAAGGTACTTTCTTACTTACTCTTGATATTAGTTATGATCTTCAATCTCAGATCAGCCGTGTGTCGTGTGTGTGTCTTTTTCTTAAAGGTGAACCTGAGGCGACCGTGTCCTTTCTGGCCTGATGACGGACAGTGTTCAATCAAAGATTGTCATGTGGAACCCTGTCCTGAGGTGAGGTTAGAGGACTATTTATAGTCAAAGATCCGTGATTGTTCCCATGACTCTAATGTTATCCAGTGTTAAGAGAGTAAAGACCATAGACGACTGCATGAATAATTAATTCAACCCTACACTCACATTACTTACATTTAGGCATCTTGCTTTGTTGCCTTCATGTTTTATTTTTGGACACAATTCTTTTAGATCAGGAGCAGTGTGGTTTCTTTGGTCATCAACAGGTTTGGGAGAAACGAAGTTTGTCCTGAGTGACAGAGTGAAACAGCACATGTTCAGTAAACATAGGTTTTTTTCTATTTAGTCTGTATTTATACAACAGTTATTCATCCAACACCAGTTTAACCACATGATCAGTTAAAGGTGGATGATTTATTATAAGGTGGAGAACTCATTTCCTTATTGTTTCTTTAACAGAGTAAGATCCCTGTCGGCATCAAGTCTGGGAACTACAACAAGGTGAGACGACAAATTAACACAAAATACAAATGGCACTGTCGCTTCAGTATCGTACCTTTTATTTAAGGATCGGCACACTGGTCGTTCCTTCCTCTAACCAGAAGGTCAGTGGATTGATCCCACTTGTACTTGGGCAAGATTTTGAACCCAAATTGTCTTCTCACAGAGAAAAGTGCTGCACATAGATGCACTGTATGAATGTTGGTGTGAATGGGTGATTGTAAAACTGTAAAGAGCTTTGAGTGTCATCAAGACTAAAAAGATCTTTACAAATACAGACCATTTATATAAATAAAGACCATTTATATAAATACAGACCATTTACAAAATAAAGACCATTTATGTGCGTGTGCTTTCGTTAAATAGAGAGAATGAGCAGCTGCAATCTTTCCAGCACTTTCTGTCTCATCAGCTGACTCACTGCAACACACACACACACACACACACACACACACACACACACACACACACACAGGTCTTATCTGTCCTGATAGTTTCCACCTAGAGGTTGAGGACTGAGTGTTTTCTAGCTCTTGGCTCGCAGCCTGATGTTTGTTTTGTGATGAACGAGGTGTGTTTGAACATCTGGACTCAGTTGCATCAACCACTGTTTGAGTCTGTGGGACAGTTTTAAAAGAAACAGGAATATGTGAAGTCTCAGCAGAATTAAAAAATCGGAACCCATGTGGAGCTCGACAGGTTAATCGTGACAAACTCCGCCCACACTGACACATTTTATTTTTATAACTGGTGACTGTGACTGTGACGCCTCAGAGTTTCACTGCCTCTAAATCAGAGTCATCAAACTGTGACGCCCACGTTCTCTTCTGATTGGTTCTCATCAGTCACATGACTCGACTACCAGCGGTGAATACAAAGCATCGCTAACACTTCCTTGTAACAGTAACAGTTCCACCTCGTTGTCGCTTAGAGAAAATAAATTCCTGCTCTGACTTTTCACCATCACTGATACTGAGCTCGTAAATGAAAGAAAAGAAACTTCTGTGTCGTGGTTTTGTAAATGCTGGACAGAACCAGGCTAGCTCATGTCCCCTGTTTACAGTGTTTATTCTAAGCTAACCCTCTTTTGCTTCATATTATAAGATGTATCAGTGTTCTAACCCAGCTTTTGTCAAAGGACGTAAGTTTGAAACTGCTCTTCGATATTTGTTTAGCAAAGGAGATGTGTTTTATGAGAAATCATTATCTAGCTACTGCAAGTGTTGTTAGCATGGGCATTAGCATGCTAACCCCCTCCTTCTTTACTCTCTGTCTCCAGTACTCCCAGGCAGCGAACACGATGTCGGACATGACAGAGTGTGAGCAGGCGAAAGAGCTGGGCGCCATCAATAGCACCCTAAGGTGAGAGCGCAGTCGTCCGGTTTTATCTATCAAACATTCTCCAGCGTCTGACTGCTGGTGGTTTCCCAGCGTTCACAACCACGAGCAGCAGACGGAGTGAGAATCTGATAAAACCACTCGGAAGGTTGTGTCAATAAAAACAAAGGTTGTACGTCTGGATATTAAAGTCTAACATGAAACAATATTTCTACTGAGACCTGTGAGATGAAACCAGCATGTAGTTCATCTGTTCTGCACATCACACACATTTTTTGTCCTCCGCTGGCGACACCCAGTGGCCAGAGGCATCCATGTTTTCAGGTTGCCTTCCGTCTATCCCATTCTTGTGAACATAATATCTCAAGAACATCTGCAGGGAATTTATACAGATTGGCATTCTGACCAGTTGACTCAAAGATGAACCGACTAGATTTCAGAGGTCAAAGGTCACGGTGACATCAGATGAGTCTGCTCTGGTTGATGGGGGCAAACAATTGCAGGACGATGATTCCAGTTTTCTTCATTAAAGTTTTTGTTATTGTGTATAAAATGAGTCGGTGGACTGTGTGGATGGTAAAAACATTATGGATGATGTAACACACTAAGTTAGAGATCTCATGATTTTATGAGAAATGCAAAAATGTTTTTTGGTTCATTATGAAACTGTCAGACTCTGTTATGAGTGGATATTTTTCCTTGTTTCAGTAACCAGAGTAAAGAGGCATTTGCTGACTGGGCGAGACACGACGACGCTCAGGACCACTTCTGTGAGCTGGATGGTGAGGTTATTCCTATTACCTTGAGACACCAGATAAAAACAGTGGGTGGGGGCGTTTATATCAAACATACATATTCTTTGTGAACGCTGAACCGAACAAATCAGTTTACAAATGATGAACGTCAGCGTTGTTCACTCCAGTGAGAGTGAACGCTTGTGTGTGTTGTGATATGCGAGGTGCGTTCAAGTGAAGCAGTTAGTGAGTTTGTTGAAGAACAGTAGAAACAGTGAAAACACAGTTTCCTCTATGATACACAGCTGCTCAATGAGAAGCCCTGACATTTATATCTGACTCCAAGCGGTCACTGACTCCGCGTTTTAGATGTCTGCTGATATCTTCCAGGTGCATTCAGGGACTGCTGGAAATGCTAGCGTCCGCTAGCTTTGCCACTTCCTGTAGACTTTTACGAATTTAACATTTGTACAGTGATTAAAAGGAGATTTCAAAATATCGAGATGTGTATCGTGTATGTATATAACATAAAAATACAGTAATATTTGTTTTAGGCCATTTTGCCCAGCCCTGTGTTAATAATAAGTGTGTGTGTGTGTGTGTGTGTGTGTGTGTGTGTGTGTGTGTGTGTGTCAGATGAAACGTCTCCAGATGCTGAGTACGTTGATCTGCTGCTGAATCCAGAAAGATTCACTGGATATAAAGGTCCTTCAGCTTGGAGAGTGTGGAACAGCATCTACGAGGAAAACTGCTTCAAGTGAGACACAAACACACACTTATAAACACACACACTTATAAACACACACACACATTTATAAACACACACCTATAAACACACACACCTATAAACACTCTCACAAATTTTAATAATAATTTAATCAAGTTAGAATTTGAAGCTGTGCTAATGATGATTGTGATGATGACATTAATAAATGTGTGTATGTGTTGACAGGCCCAGATCAGTGTACCGACCTCTGAACCCTCTGGCTCCGAGCAGAGGTGAGTCACCAGCTCACAGGGACACCTGGTGGATGGGTGGAGAATGGCACTGACTCTGAGATGTAGATTTCGTCCATCTCTATGGTTCAGAACTCCTTTAGAGGACTGAACATTTTGTGGTTCACACTAGGAGCTGGCGGCGGTTCTCCGTCTTAGTTTACCATTATTAGGATGAATGTTGTGTGGGGGATATGTAAAGAGTTGATGGCTGACAGAACTTAGCTGCTGCTCAGTTTGATTTTTACAAGGTTGCAGTCTTTACTTCATTGACTTGTTAAATTTGAAGGTTTAAGTCACAGTGTGAATAAAGATGGACGACATGACACCAGAATTTGTCAAAGATGGTTTCTGTCATTTTAGGTAGTTCTAGTGTGTGTGTGTGTGTGTATGAATAGCTCAGATTTAACAGAGCTTCGTTCTCTTTCTGTTTTCAGGAGATGATGATGGTGAGTAAGACGACGGACACGTCAAATTCATTTTTAGTTGTGTTGATTAAAAATCCACAAAACGATCCAAAAGTCTCTTCCTGTTGCAGGAGAAGGTTTCTACAAGTGGCTTGAAGGTAAATACACCTCATGTTATTATCCTTCTGATTTTATATGAATGTACAAATGTGTGTGTGTTTATTTGTATTTATATACATATATGTGGGTGTGTGTGTGTTTACATTTCATTTCCTGTGAGTTTAAGCGCAGGGGAAAATTTTCCCCGCAGATTTAAATCCCTGCTCACCCGATGTCTCTCTCCAGGTTTGTGTTTAGAGAAGAGAGTTTTTTACCGACTCATCTCCGGCCTCCACAGCAGCATCAACATCCACCTGTGTGCCGAGCACCTGCTGGACGGTACGGCCATCACTGCAAACAAATATTCACTTCATGTAAACCTGCACACATGTGGAAACCCTGACATGTCAAGGTTTCAAGACAAATATAGATGATATAAACAAGATGTGGTAAAAACTCCTCAGGCAGATTCTTTTTAAATGGACACAAATGTTCAGTTGGACCCAAAGATGAACATCAATGATCAAAGTCACAGTGATAATGAAAATCCACTAAATCCTTGAAGCAAAATTCATCATGTGTTAAACTGTTGTGTTTGGTGTTGGACTCCTCAGAGGGCTGGGGCCGCTCAGTCTGGGGCCCGAACGTCCAGGAGTTCCGGCGGCGCTTTGATATGGCCGAGACAAAGGGCGAGGGCACACGGCGTCTGAAGAACCTCTACTTCCTGTACCTGATCGAGCTGCGGGCGCTGTACAAGGTGGCTCCGTACTTTGAGCGTGCCTTCGTCGACCTGTACACTGGAAACACGCAGGAGGACGGAGCCACCAAAGAACTTCTGCTGCAAGTCTTCAACGAGCTCAGGTGACTTGAAACAGATTTAAGTGGAGGAAATGTCAGACCAACAGTTGGTGACACACGAACACTCAGATTCTCCCACAGTGTTTAACTCATGTCGACACTTGAAACGTCTGAAACGTCTTCACAACAACTTAACAACTACATGTTGTTCAGTAAACTACAAGTCAATGTAAAGGGCTGATGTTGGTGTAATTAGAACAAACATTAAAGAATTCAGATAAAATGTGGAGCTGCGAGTAAACTTGAGAAAAATCTAAAATCTGATGTTGAAGCCGAAGTTTCCCACGTGTTGGTTTCTTTAATGTTCGTAACAGTTATAAATAAAGCAGGCGTTTGATCGAACAGCTGTTTTTGTCTTCCAGAACGTTCCCGATGCACTTTGACGAGAAGTCCATGTTTGCTGGAAACAAAATTGAAGCAAAGACACTGAAGGTGAGAGCAGATACTAAAATGTTGTGTTACAGGAGAAAAACATATTTGATGTGAAGTTTTGTCGGTGAACATCATCTCCTCTCGTTCGTCTTCTAGGAAGAATTCCGCCTCCACTTTAAAAACATTTCCAGGATCATGGACTGTGTCGGCTGCAGCAAATGTCGTGTGTGGGGGAAACTTCAGGTGAGTCACGTTTACACTCTGAGCCGTTTGTGCTCGCTTTGTTCATTTAGACAAAACAGAGCAGTGTCACCGGAAACCATGGGGGGGGCAGTGATGTGAGACGATCATAGAACACGAGAAACTTCCACAAGGTCCAAACTTTCTCAGGAGAAACTCTTAACTGTCTGTCTCTCTCTCTGTGTCTCTCTCTCTCTGTCTCTGTCTCTGTCTGTCTCTGTCTCTCTCTCTCTCTCTGTGTAGACTCAGGGTCTGGGCACAGCCCTGAAGATCCTCTTCTCGGAGAAGGAGATCCAGAAGCTTCCTGAACACAGTCCGTCTAAAGGTTTCCAGCTGACTCGCCAGGAGATCGTGGCTTTGATCAACGGCTTCTGCAGGTTCGTTCAGCGCTCTTTGATCAGTCATGATCCCTAGAGGATGAACTCTCATGTCTCTTTACTTCTTCCTGTGAAATACCTGAACAGAAACTTCATGAACATCCATGTTCCCCTCAGGAGGAACCACAAACGTTCAAGTTTAAATTTGTAAAGTGGAAAAGTCAGAGGACTTAATAACAACTTTTAATCTAGTGCCACAGTTTGGTCTGAATATAAAATTTGTTTATGTTAAAAAATTATAAATGAATATTTTTATTATGCGATAATGTGACATGTTCATCTCTGTTGCCCCCTGCAGGTTGTCCACCAGTATACAGCAGCTGCACGGCTTTCGCCTGCTGTTGGAGAACAGGTAACAGGAGGTCCACCGGGACAGTAGGTGGCGCCAGCCCCCACTGAACTGCTATTGTCTTCAGCTTTTTATACGTCAGGATCAACAGTGAAACTCCCAGAAATCTCAGTTTCCCTCTGAAACCTCCTCCTCTTTTTCTTCCTCTTCTTCTTCTTCCTCTTCACTAGACTTTTTCTTTTTCTTTGTCGTTCAGTGAAAAACTGACGTCTGTTAGTTTCATTTTCTGAGAATGTGATTCATGATGAAAATTTGACTTCCTGAAGGGAATAATAAAGACCAATCAGACATCTGGGAGGAAGTGATGTAACACAGTGATGCACGATTGTGATGAAGACGATGATAACGGTGAAGACGAAGACTGGACAGACTAAACTGTGGAAACTGTTGGAGGGAAACCTTTCTCTTCCTCTGCTGACATTACATCTTGTCGGATTGTTAAAGTCGCTGTTCTGTAACTATGCTGAAAGACTTAGATGGATGAAGTTTGTCAAGATGAAA